TTACCTTGTATCATCCAGAACGAACATTGGGGCTCGTTTTGATTAGTGTTGGCTATGACCCACCGGGAATGTTTGATCTCGATCGATCATTAGAGAATTCGAAGAAAGCGTTTGGATATGAAACGCTTGGTTATTGGAAATTCTTTGACTCTGATGATGCTGCAACGATTATCGAGACCAACGTAGAAAGTTTCCTGGATCTTACTTTTACAAGTAATCCGCTACAATGGAAGACGGATTTTGCCCCGGTTGGAAAGATGCGAGATTGGGTAACGAGTGGACGAAGGACTTCTCGGGCTGCATATATGACGGAAGACGATTACAAGATCTTTCATCAATCTATTGTCGAAGGAATGCAACCAAAATTAAACTGGTACAAAGCAGCAATTGCAAACATCGATTGGAATGATGCGAAGAATATTGATCCTAGAATAAAACGACCAGTTCTCTTTATAGGAGGAAAGCAAGACTATGTTTGTATTATTGCTGCATTTGCAGGACAAAAACAATACATAGATGACTTGGAGGTGATCGAGTTGGAAACAAGTCATTGGGTAATGGAAGAAAGGCCAGACGAAGTCAATCGAGCAATTGATGAATGGATCAAGAGGATTGTGTGATTCCGATGCATAATGTCTCATATCGATTGTTTCCTCGACTGAAGGAAGGATCAAATAAAATAAAATACGTTTATATGCTTGCTTGTATGATTTGCTTGTACGTGTAAAGTCACGTGTACACATGTATTTGTGCAGATTTAGAACAGCTATTTGAGATCAGATCTTTCCATGCTGACAATTCAACCAATGAGATGATTTTGCTGCTCGAGTTGCGGTAAACCAGATTTTCTTGTACTGCAGCTCAGTCAATCAGGTGATTTTACGGCCTAGCTTTCATCCAATCAGATTCTTTCATACTATGAATTCAGTCCATCAGATGTTTTCGATGTCGCGCTCTTGTCTAGTCAGGTTTTTCGGCCTAAAAGTTCAGCCAATCTGATACTTTTGCGTCGTAGCTCTCGTCGAATGAGATTTTTTCCGATGTGTGTCGAGCCAATCATATGTTTTTTTTCTATACGAGCTAAGATGTATGAAGTTTGCCGAGCCTATCAGCGTTAAAGAAGTGAATGCATACTAATATTTGATAACGAAGTCACATTTCTCACCAGTCTTCAAATACAGTTGAACATCTATGAGACCTAATGAGCTGTGAAACGACTCGCTGGAGGTGGTACCAACAACCGATCCGGAAAAGTTTCCTGGATTTTTCAGGTAAAAGTTTTGTTTTTAACGTAACGTATGAGAAAGTTGGCAGTTTTCACTCAATATGATGTGACATATATCTAGAATTGAAAATGTAGGATGGAGACGAAATCTAATCTTTACTGTGATTATGCAAAAGTTTTTATAATGTATGCTCAATAACTGAAGTCTTGGATTTATTCGAATAGATTTAAGCTTCCATTTAACTTATAAATTCATATTTGAAAATTAAGAGTTGTGTACCAAGCACGCCACAACTACCGTTTATCATACATTAAATTTTTCCAAACTGCATTATAATCAAGAAAGAGACAAAAAGTTGCAAACTCACATGCGTAGTTTCTATATGTTATACCTTACTCAAAAGTTTAAGGTGATAGATATTTGTCGAGAAATGGGCCAGATTATGAGAACTAATTATGAGAACTAATTATGAGTAATAATTGAAAAAACTAACTCCGATTTCTCGACGTTTCAGTGAGATTTAATAGATTATAACATGGAAATTTGTACTTCGTGATGTGAATTTTCACTTTAAATAGTAAATGTTATCCCTCATTGTCGTGAGTAATGAAGAGATGTCAGGACACAAGATGTTTGTCACGTAAAGGTTTCTCAAAGAAAATTGATATATTATTTTTCTTATCAGTTTCTAGTGGCTTTGTGTCGAACCAAAAAAAAAATATAATTAGGTTTCTTCCGTTTAACATAATATTTACTCTCACAGGTTATATCCATGAATGGAAAAGATGTTATTTATCGGTTCTGATAATTCAAAGAACAAAAATTTAAGGATGTTTGAAATATCGAACAAAGAATTCATACAAGGATCTTCCAGCGGCCTAGTGTGGGCTATGAGAAAAAAAATTACTTGAATTGAGATCACGCAAATTTGTACCGCATATCTGTGCGCTCGAGTTGTACTCAATGGCAGAACGACCGATTTTGTGACTTTTTTTACTTCATTCCCTTAAACGATTTTCGTGATTTTAATGATTTCAAAACAACATACATTCCCGTACAAAAGTCTTTTTACTCGTCTTTCTTTTTATGCTCTCATACTGTGCATCAAATTTATTGTCAAGTAATGATATGACATAATAGTTTTATTTCAATTTGATCTGTATATCACACTGAAATAAAACTGTCATGTCATACCTTTACTTCGTAATAAATTTGATGCAAACATTAATAATTGTTGGCAACCCTTTTCCAACCATACTGCATGTCCATAACTATCTGGAATAGGCAGGTATCACAATTATTCCACACCCATCGAATTCTCATGACCTGACACCATCTGATTTTGGGTAATTTTAAGTTCCAGAGAGAAATGTTCTGTTAAAGAGAAGTGACACACTGTGAATCATAGCGTTAGTGTTGAGTGTTTAAGATAATCTGTCCCTTTCTCAGCCGCCAAACAAAATCAAGCTTTAGTTTTCATTGTTATTTAAATTCTGTAAAAACAAATCATTGTTTAAAATCTTCTGTATCAAAAGATTGCTTTATTGAACGTTTGGATAGAAAATCCTCTTCATTATAACGATTATTTCATGGTCAAAACTAATGTCCGCGTCAGAATTAAACAAGGCCCAATATGATGCAAATAACTTAAGAACGCAAGCAGCTAGTGATGTGCAATTTTCACCAATCGATAGAGGATTATAAGGAGCATAAGTGGATATAAAAACAAAAGATTAGATAATTGTGCACAATAGTTAGATAGTGAAAATCATTGAAGGAGTAGGTTTGTTACTTAATGAAATCTAAATCGATCAACTGAAATTTGCAGCTCATATAATCCCACTCTAGTTCAGTCTTCTCTAAAAATATGATCGATAAATCTTGTAATAGACGAGGGATATCATGGCCATCATCATTTAGCTTAACATAAGGCTACTATTCACTCAATATATGACACATGAGTTCAATGCTTTGCTGAATAAATACCATAATCTAGACTTCTTATCTATGCAACAATAGCATACTTTGGTCATATAAATGTACGGAAGCAGAAAAAACTCGATGAAGAAATGATTCTTCTACATTACATATATTAAAACAAATCTCCCTAACTTTCATAAGGAAAATATAGGATTTTATCATATTTTCACCGAATCGTCGCATTCATATGACCAATGTATGATATTATTGCATAAATATAAAGTCTAGATTATGTTATTTATTCAGAGAAATGTTGAAACCATTTCTTGATATATTGAGTGCATAGCAGCCTTATGTAGTGCTAAATGACGATGGCCATACCATCTTTCAACATTACAAGATTTATTGATGATACTTTTAGTTAAGTTTGGACTACAGAGCGGCTATATATGCTGAAAATGTCAGTTTGATCGATTTAGATTTCATTAAGTAACAAACCTATTCTTTGAGTGATTTTCATAATCGAGCTATTGTGCCCAATTATCTGATCTATTGTTTTTCGATAAACTCATGTCCATTACAACCCTCTAAAGATTGGTGAAAATCGCACTTCAATAGCAGCCTATGTTCTCAAATTATTCGCATTGTACTGAGCTCTCTATAACTTCGGTACCGCGATTAGTTTCATCATTAAATGATAGTTCTCAGATACCACAGTACAACTGCAATATTTGTTTGGATTTATCGGAAAAATAAAAACTCCACTACAATATTCCATATCGGAAGAGTTTTTCTTTATTAGGTCTCCTTGTCGATGTGATACTATCATCTAAATGATGATGATAAACATAAAAAGTGCAATGAGCTAGCGAAAACTATCTTGAAACGATATAAATGTGTGAGAACCTCACCCATCACACCTTCACGCTGATCCTCACTCATCACACCTTCACCCTGATCCTCACACATCGCACCTTCATCCTCACTCATCACACCTCCACCCTGATCCTCACCTATCACACCTGCACCCTCATTCTCACCCATCACATCTTCACGCTGATCCTCACCCATCGCATCTCCATCCTGATCCTCACCGATCACACCTACACCCTCATCCTCACCCATCGCACCTTCACCCTCATCCTCATCCATCACACCTCCACCCTGATCCTCACACATCATACCTCCACCGTCATTCTCACCCATCGCACCTTCATCGTCAGTTAGGTATGCACTGAAGTTGCAGAGTAAATATCACTATAGCCTTTATCACTCATTTGTTTCTATTGCAAACACAAGCACACACGTATTTCTTGACGATGATGATGTATTTAGAAGAAGAACAGAATAAAATGTGTGCTTGGTCGACAACATTGTCAGATGCTTGTTTTAAACATATAGCGCTGCTAGAGGTGGAACCAGTACCAGCGACCGACCGGTCCTACCATATCTGACCTATTTAGACCGGTACCGGTCGTCAAAAATCCCGAGCAGTTCCATCTCTAAATTATGCTAATATAGTTTGAGAAATCATCACTATTTTTTGTTGTTAGGTACAGAAAATGCAGCTGTGTATCATCTTTCAACTATTCTTAATGCTGATGGTAGTAGTCGGAAAGTCCAATGGAATTTCGAGTCCGGTTCAACTATTTACTACTTACAAACATTCAATTGAACTTCAAGAAAATGTAGCTGATCTTTGGTGGACCGTGGACTCTGATGCACAAGAGATTATTTTCGAGTTGCATGTTAAGACTACTGGATGGATCGCTTTGGGCATCAGTCCAGGTATTAAGAATTCAAATAAACTATCACAATTATCATTTTTTTTCTCTGAAATATTGAGCTGGTGGAATGATAGGAGCTGATATAGGTACTGGCTGGGTCGATCAGGCAGGAAATGTTCATTTTCAAGTATGCACATCTCATACATTATGATTAAAATTGATTGGTCTATCTTTTTCAGGACAGACATGCATTCAATTTTTCACGACCTGTCATCGACAATACAACGCAAGATTGGTTTCATCTGCAAGGTCGTGAACAAAATGGATGGACATGTATTCAGTTTAAACGTTTGCTTGACACATGTGATTCAATGGATGTTCGAATCAGGGTAAGAGATGATTTTATTAGGTATCATTAAATAAAGCATTTTTCAATCAATATAGTCTGGAACCAACATTGTCATTTTTGCCTATGGTCTTGTCGATCCCGATTTGTCTCGACAGGATGGTGACATATCATATCATGATGATCGACGAGGTACTCGAATGATTCCACTTCAATCTTATGGAAATCCACCATCGGAGGACAAATTTGCTGGACTGGATTCGTTCGAGTTTCGCTTGAACAATGTGAGCTGTTTGCTCGTTCATTCTGCATCAAATACAACTTGATATATATTTTTTTTTAGTATCGAGTTCCATCGACTGAAACAACCTATCATTGCAAAGTATACAAAGCTCCTAGTCGTTTTTCGACAAAGCGGCATGCTATCGCAGTACGTATCAGAGATAAGCAACTCTCAATGTGAGGTTATAGAGCGAAGCGAAATTGAAAGGGAAAATTTAGCTTTGACTACTGTCGGTGCATCATTGAAGATCAGTAGTTGGTGCTCCACAGTTTGTTTTTTTTTGTGTATACAGTTAGGATTTCAAAAGATGATAGTAAAAGAGACGTTTGCTTGATCAGAATCGAAGCTTTTTTAAATGTTTTTTTCTTCTCAGCACAAGGCATTGATCGATCCAGCTAATCGTGATATTGTACATCATCAGCTTGTTTACGAATGTGATCCTGCTGCTATATTCGACGATGCCAATCTGCCTGAGGGTCTGTGCGATGAAATCAATCCTCAAATTGAACTGTGCACAACAAACATTGCCAGCATATGGGCTGTCGGTGGCGACTATGTATGTTTCTTTAATGCCAAGAAAAATAATGCGCATATAGAGTTTGAATAGATGGAAGAGTTTGCTGAAGAAGCGGGCTATCCTGTCGCCGGTGATTTTCCCATCAAATATTACGCAATTGAAATGCACTATAACAATGCAAAGCAACTTTCGAGTAGGACGTTGTATATCAAATATAGACATATAGTAACTATTGGCGTTTCCATTGTAGATCGTACCGACAGCTCAGGCATTCGATTTTATATTGGCAATGAACTTCGTCAATATGACCTTGGCTATCTTTCATTCGGCACATATGCAAACGCCGCCGCCCTTGCCATTCCACCGAGAGTGGATCGATTTAACGTCGACTCATATTGTTCTCCTCGAGCTACTCAGGTATCTATTCGATACAATAAGAGTTTCTTATACATTTGTTTTTTATAGAATTTTCCTGAATCCGGTATCACACTTCTATCAACCTTTCCTCACACTCACTTACAAGGCAAATAAATGATTTTAATATAACTTCAAATCACTTTTCGATATTTAACTAAATAGGTCATAGTATATGGACGAAATTGATTCGAAATAATACAGCTACCCAATATTTGTTTAATGTTGAAGCATATGATTTCAATTATCAGTTTCAGAATGTTCTACAAAAACGAATCAAACTCTATCGAGTAGATGAAAAAAAAAACAACATTTCTCAATTGTGTCTACAATTTATCTTGTAGGGTGATGCGTTTGTCACTCGATGTGTCTACAATACAAGAAATAAAAATGAGATTACACTGGTATATAATGATGAGAGAGAGAGAGAATGTATTCTATCTCATTGTGTGTTTTTTTTTCATCAGGGCGGTCCGCGAACAAAAGATGAAATGTGTCTTCACGTATTCACTTATTATCCTCGAATGAATGACATGTATTCATGTTGGACAATGAACACTATGTCAGCGTGGCAAAATATACTGAATAATTCTTCGTAAGTTTCATTATATTTTAAATTCATCTGGCAAAACTTGAAATTGATTGTCTCAGACCGATAACAGACCGCAAAATACTCAAACAGCGGCTACTCAATATCACATGGACGGCTGAATTAGCTAGAGAATGGCAAGAATTCTATAACAATGCGTCACGTGATATCTACTTTGGCAGATCAGGACATTTGGAACACGAGGTTGTTACTACATTACCTAAATATAAAGATCTACAGCCTTTGGAATGTGTAAAACAACAAACCACAAAGCTCGCCGTTACCACTACTATCAGTTATAATTTAGCTGATCGTCAGAAGATATTCGTTCTTCTCACACTTATTCCATTTATAATGAAAAAAATGTTTGAATGAATAAAATGATACTTATTTCAGTTCACATGACAAAATAATGTGACCTTACCTTTGTGTGGAGCTGGATTTTCAATTTGTATTGCAAAGTATACATTTAGTGTAGCACCTTGTCGATAACGGTACGAAAAATGAGTGATTTTCAAGGTAATCAAAATGGCATTTTGGCATTTATCTTCTTCTATGATTTCTCCAAATTTTAAATGCACTATTAGAAAGAGCGTGACAATTTGCACTAGAATTGTGGACTGAACAGTTGTTCTACGTTATGAAGCTGTTTTAGCCAATTCTAATATTGATTTTTTCGCAGTGTTAATATGACAATTGAAATTGACTATCTTAACTTTATAACGTTGAATATTTGTTCAATCTGCAATTTTAGTGTAGTTTATCGTGCTCTTTCTAATGACGCGTTCAAAATTTGTGGAAATTATAGAAGAAAAAGAATGCCATTTCAATCGATAATTTTTGGTATGTCTTGAAAATCATTCATTTTCGCATCGTTTCCGACAAGGCTCTACACTAAATTGTAGTTCATCGTTCAGAGAGGAATTTTCTCTATCGAATAGCCTGTCATGGAGAAGTTTAAAGTTGAAATAGGAGCGTCATGGCTCAGAAAAAGAGAGTTCGGGGATTATTTTAATAAACAGTAAAGGAGAACATCATGCGATTATTTAGCCAATAGCAAATCGAAAATCAACTGATTCAGGGTACTAGCAAAATATGCTCTGATCCACTCTGAGCCAAGAGGGAAAAGCTGAGGTTTTTGAGATTCTTACTCAAAAAAACTCAATTTTCAATCAAATTTATCAGAAATACCAGTTTTTCGAAGGGGGAAGAGCTGAGATTTTTGAGTTTTTCCATTTTTTGAGATTTTTCGTGGTTGAATTTCGCTCAAAAAATTCAGTTTTCAGCTTTTCTCCCTTGCTCTGAGCGCCATTTTACTATTGGGTCCAGCTCTTAGCCATTCTGGAAGAAATATCTCGAGCATAATGTGCAAAAACTTCTTAGGACGGTCCATTCTTACCCACTATGAGCCACTCAGCTAAAAGCTCAAAAAAAATAAATCTTCGAAAAAATCAAGTCAAACGGTTCCTATAACTTTTTAAAACCTGTGTAGAGGTGGTCCCGATAACTTTTTATGGGGCTACTTGGTAAGAATCTATGTTTCCACATTATTTCTCTGAGGTAATCAGATTTGAGCAAGCGTTTTCTTTACTACAGTAAGAATAGAACACCGTACTGTTCGAGCCATATGAGAAAGAACTTCAGATAACCCCCTAATTGACTGAAACAACACGTATTCTATTCTTACTATAGTGAAGAAAGCCCTTGCTGAAATATGATCAGCTGAGAGAAATAATGCAGAAACATAGATTCTTTCCAAGTAGTCCTATAAAAAGTTATCGAGACCACCCTAGACAGACCTTAAAAAGTTATAGGGACCATTTGACTTGATCTTTCTGAAGATTTTGTTTTTGAAATTTTGGATCAGAATGGGTGAGAGTGTACCCCGTTCTAAGAAGTTTTTCCACTTGAAGTTCGAGATACTTCTCCCAGAATGACTCAGAGTGGAATTCAATAGGCTCAGAATTTTAAGGTTTATCGACTGCTATAAGTGTCTCGTAAAACGGCGCTCAGAGTGGATCAGAGCGTATTTTACTAATATACATTGATTGATCTGAAATTTTGTATGGATATACTAGAGACTATAGGCTACTATATGGTGAAAACGAAACCATTTGAGCTTATTCAGCTTCTAAGATATAGATGAAACAAAAGAATTCCATCTGCTTGCCTTGTAATTTTGAGAGCCACCGTGCTTTACTGACAAAAATGAGTCTTGTCAAAATGTTTGCCAAATAAAACCGAATCGGTACACGATAAATTATAGAATATCTAAATGATCGATTTTATTGAATTTGTTTTTCGCTCTATCTCCTAATATATCGTATTAAATATTTAGTTACTGTGGTGTCGGGCTAGAGGATTCTAGCTTTCGGAAGCAATTTTTTATAGGTTTTTCATGGAAATTGAGAGTACTCAAAAGTTGGGCTAGACTAACTTTTACCAACATAAACGAAAACACTAAACATTTGGATTTAGCAGTTGTTGACATCGCTGATTCAGATGCACATATTATATCAAACAATTGAATGTTGATCAGCGCCTAGGTTTCTCTCTTAAAAAGTTTTCTATGAAGCTGATATTGAGAAGCAGATGCGAAAGAAATCATTTGATTGCATTACTATTTGCAGTCAAAAACATGTTACGCCAAAAAATCTTCCTCAGTTACAGACATATTGATCATACCAGAAGTTTGTCACTACTATGAAATACATCACTTTTTATAATCATGTTTAATTCTGTTTGGGCTAAGATGGTTTCTTTTTATACACTAAATCGTCATTTTCTGTACAGATAAAACTAAAAAAATTGAGTCTTATTTGGTTTTGAACAAAGAGCTTAAAAAATCCATAACTTTTTCAAGAAAAGTCATGGAACGCTGAGGGCATGGGCGAGCCATCATGAGGCAATTAGTGGCAATTGTCACACCTGAAAAAATTTTTCTATTGAAAAAGTTTTGAAACTAGCACAGAGCCAGTCAAAAAAATGCTCGTTACCACAGTCAAATGTTTTATTGCCACATCTAAAAGTTCTTGGTTGGCCCGCCACTGGGTGAGGGTGGTCTCATTTTGTAGTTCAGGCTTTCTTCTACCTTAGTATTCTATCCAGCTTAAATAAAAAATTTTCTGTGAAACACGATTGTTAACGAGTGCTGAAGTATATGGCTAGAAAGTTGGACGTATTCTACCTCCCTCGTCCATCGCAAAGCCTGTAATACACATGCCGACATACTTCTCTTCGGCTTCCATCATGGACTGTAATAGGCGTGGCAAGGATCCTCCAGTACGATTAAACAGACTCCATCATATTGTACATATTAATCTTGTAGGTATTAAGCTGAAAGGTTTTTAAAATACAAGGAAAAGCTGTATCCCTCAGCAAATATCATGCTCTTTTCAATAGTGAGTAGGCTACTGTTACATTTTGATTCAACATAACAGTGTTCCTTTTCACGTAGATCTGAAACTATATCAGAGTAAATAACGAAAGATTTCAAAAGATATCTACTTTTTTTCTCATGAAGATGTGAAGAGAAAAAAACAGATAAAAGAAAACTGCGCACTATCTAAGACTTTTGAATAATAACTGTTGATACTAATACTGTAATTTATTCATAATACATAAGAGAATTGTACAACCCATATTCAACACTAATACAAAGAACAGTGCTTGCAGAAAAAAGTTTGCGGTACCCTACCACCCACTGGTAAGTAGTCGTTAAAAAATGGCTGGTATTTATTATACACCAGTTACAAGAATGCAATACTAATTAATGTTAAGAGATAGAGTAGGCGTTGAGTGAGCTTATGATTCAATAATATCTAGTCTGTTTCTGACAATAGTATCCAACACCTGCCAGATTTTTATAGATAACAAAAATTTGTTTTTCACTTTATTACTACTAATATCTATGTCATTGTGCTAGCTATATTCTTGCAGGAAAAAACTTTGAGTATTCAAAAGTGTTTTGTTAAGCCATACAAACCACAGAGGATGGCTCGGCAAACTAAGACAATTGTTCAGTCGACAAATAATCTTCTCATCGTATTGCATTTTTACTGGCGCATTTCTTAAAATGACTTTGCGC